AAAATATCTATGTTCTAGAAGTCCAGGTTGTTGTATCAAAATATACAATAGAAATAACAGTAAGTTAAAAGGCTCAAACAATCATGTTGTGAATGTTGCTTATAATTCAGACTCTTCAGAAGTTGAAATTGATAATGTCTCAGCCAAGTCTTACCAGTTCCGATTAAACGAAACATTATGAAGTAGTAATAACCACTATTTTTTGTTGTGTGGTGCTAATGTTTATTTTTTTTTTATTTATTTTAATACATACTTGGTAGACATATTCCTAAAAGAAAAAAAATAATAAATATATATATTAAAATATATGAAATATATATACTGTTTACTTATTATTAGTTTAAATTCTATATCTGCCTCACTTTTGGAGAGAACAGGCATAAAGTTTATATTATTTTATTAATTTAGTATTAAATGTAAGTTATGTAAACTGTTTAGTTTAAATTTCTATACCTATTGGTTTCTTGATTTTTTATTGTAATGTCCATATCAAAATCTTAGTTTTGTATCTTTCTCATCACTTCATCTGTGATGATCAGTCTTATCGGGCGGGCTGTTATATCAGCATCACGTTGCTATACCAAGGCTAAGTAAACCGCTGAGCCAGCTTCAGTTGTTTACTTCGTTTTACTTATGCATTGACGTCAATTGAAAATCCTCGTAAGCATTTCCGGCGATGTATGAATTAGTTCGGTTTAAGCGTTTTTGATGTGGACACTTTCTATTTCTAACTCTGTATTTTATATTTTTTTTATTAAAATTCCAGTAATCGAAATAATAGTTTTTGTCTTCAAGATCCCACATAACAGTTCCCTTAACAATTACACTTCTTCATCATCAGACCGATAATGACAGCCCCACTCTATCTAGGTGTAAAGTCCTCATCAATACAAATTAATCAAGCCCAAACACAAGGTAGTTAATATAAACCACTGAGGAGTTCCCTCGACTGTCTGTCGGCTCCATCATCAGGTCGACTCCAGACTCTTATCAAATTGTAGTGTTTAAAAATCATAATTGAAAAACATAATACACGCATTACTCGCCCATAGAATTTTCGAAAGTGCCCCTCGGTTTCCCTAGGATTCCATCATCAGATTCTGACCTCATGGAAATGAGACCATCTCGAAAGTGTACCCTTCCAAACAAAACAAGAATTTTCAAAATCGGTTCACAAATGGCGAAGTACTGCGCGAACAAACAAAAAAAAAAACAATCAGCCGAACATAGTACCTCCTCCTTTTTTGAAGTCGGTAAAAATCTTATCTTATGCGTGGCATAGAGCAACACGGGCCACCGGCGGACCGGAGTGCCTCCGTGTTGCTCTATGTATGCGTGGCCTTCATCAAAACATTTACCTGCATGCAGAATTTCAACCTGGTCGTTGCAAAACTAACAAAGTTTCGTACAAATTTTCATCCCCTATTTTATTCCATGGGGGGGGGGGGGTGGAAATGATCAAAATCTTTTCATAGCGGATGTCTACATCATAACATCTACCTGCATGTCAAAATTCAACCCGATCAGTGTAAAACTGACAAAGTCTCATACAAACTTTCATCCCCTATTTTACTCCCTGTAGATAGTCATTGAAGGTCCAATGATAAAGTAGTATGGCACCGATTTCTACCCTATCAGTGGGTGCTATAGCTTACAGCTATAAGTACGTATGACCAATAATAGTTACCTTTTTAGTTTTTAGTTTTCGTTTGTCTTTAGTTTTTAAGTCGGTTTTTTTAAACATAGGTTTTTATTTGTTTACTGGTGATTTTATTTAGGTATCATACTTAAAATGCAGTAAGATATGGATATATTTTGTGTTTATTAGCTTAATTGGTGCAATTAAATTGAGGGGGGATGTTAAAAACATTAAGTATAAAATATAACAATGTAACTCCACCATAATTTATTGTCTATTGGCAACACTGTGCAACTCTCTCTTACCAAAAACTGATATAAGTGTGGTTCGTTTGTTCATATAAATAAAATACTTTTCGTTAATTAAACTGTCAAACACCAAGCGGTCACCGGTGACCGCGACCTATTGTTCTTTAATTGTGTCTATAAAACCGGTACTCGACGAGTTAAAATAACGATTCACGGCTCCTCCCCCGTACATGATAGCGTGATAAGCCTATATGTTGACCAGACCTGTTAGTAATATTCATGCAAAATTTGAAGTAAATCCATGGAGTACTTTATAAGATCATCCCGGACATACATACAGACAAACAGACAAAAATTAAATAAACCATATTTTTGGCTTCGGTTTCCATTATAGATCACGTCGCAATTTTATTATCAAAAATAATTTAAAAATTTTATAACACTTATAAAACATGTATAAATAATCTGGTAAAAAACTTCTAAAGTGTCTGGCGAGTGCTTTTCCCACGTATACATTGAGAAAGCAAACACGATTACCAAGATGAACCCGAGCAAGAACACATAGATTGAGATTATGATAATAATTATTATGAGCTTTACGTATTTGTTGCAGCCACCGAGGCCCCAGCTGCGACCTCTGCCATCGGTGCCACCGCTGCCGTCGGTGCCACCGCTGCCGTCGGTGCCACCGCTGCCGTCGGTGCCACCGCTGCCGTCGGTGCCACCGCTGCCACCGCTGTCGTCGCCGCCGCGTGATTTAAATAGTGATCTTTTGGTATCAACCTTGTCACAATTTGGAAAATATGTACATGACATCTTGATGCAATATCTAATTAATCATTTAATTATGTATATGTTACGGTAAATCTGATTAATTGAAAATTATTAATATTTTTACAATATTATTAATATATATAAATATTACAAATTTTTGTTGTTGAAGGTTTTTTGAATGTAAAACTCAGTGACACTTACCCATAAACTACCCCTATACTTATTATACTCTTTGTATTATACTCTTTGGCTGTCACACTTAGAGCTATAATATATCTATTCTTAGAGCCAATAACTAGAGTTTTCGAAACTGGAGGTCTAATCCGGTTCTGGAATCGCCGCAAACAACGTTTTCGGAACCATATACAACTTTCATGAACTACAATGAACGAATGAAGTAAAGATAAATAATAAGTAAGTTTAGATTCGAAATTGAATATAAAATTTTATTTTAAGTAATTATATTACTAAAATCATAATGCCATGGCTTAGCACATAATTATATTCATAAAGAAAATCATGAATAAGCTTTTAATATGATGGAAAATCTTAAACAAGATAAGAAACTCCTTTCAAAGATTTATTATACGACTAAGTTAAAAAGTTTTAGAATGTTGGTATTGTCATTTATTGACATTTATTTATAAAATAATGACAACCAAATTTATTCGTTTTATATAAGTACAGTCAGTTTAAAAATTATAAATGACTACATGAGAATTTGAAGTGACTAAATTATTTCGTGTTATGATGATTAACAATATACAAGGTGTCGGTTTGAACCCGTGGCATTTTCTAGGTGGTAACTCGGCTATCGATTCTGAGTCCGAATCAATAAAAAAAAATTATAGGTAAATATTTTTCATTTTTCTGTAAATTACGGAAATCCGTAAGTGCGAACTACACGCCGCAGTCTTTTAACTAGCTTATAACACGGCTCGACACACACAAACTCAAACAGGTAATTGATATTATTCCTAATTCCATAAAATCCAATAAGAAACGCAAACGCTCCGTCGGCTCCACCCCCTAGTACTCTCACCCCTATGGCGCACGCGCACACGCATTCAGTTTGTGCTTTGGCACTGCCGGGGTAGTTCGTTTGTGAAATTATTTCGCATGGCCTTGAACTTCGTGTCACTAATTATTACTACATGCTACATTCTGACCATATTTCATTTAAAAATTAATAACGTTGACCACTGACTTTCACGCTTTTTTGACCATTTTTTGTTACGTACACACATGAGCCTACTGGGCTTTATGACTTCTGTGATATACCCCCGAGAAATGACACGGCTTCAAAACTACACCTTGTATTTTTGAAAGAATTTATGTAATTTATAAATGTTTTTATATTAATAGATGTGAAAGAATACCGAAAAAATATATTATTAGTTTTAAAATAAAACATTATACATGAAACATTTATGTACAATACGTATAGTATTCAAATAAGTATTTGATTACCCTAAATGTTACCAAATCTCATAGACATCCTTACTAATATTATAAATCGGAAAGTGAGTTTGTTTGTTTGTTTGTTCCGCTTTCACGCCGTAACCACTAAACCGATGGCTTTGAATTTTTTCAGACGTGTAAAATATATAGGGTCGTGTTAACAACTATTTGAACTGACTGTATATTGATTTTATATCGTCATTTAGGTGGTTCCTTTGGTGCCCTACGTGTTGATCATACGAAGAAACCGTGATAAAACGAAGACTTGTAATTACTTTCATTCAATATTCCCGGGTTCCCGCCAGGTGGCGCTGTTAGTAAATATCATAATCCATTGTGCTCCTAAAAATTTAAATTTAAAAATATTGAAAGTGCTTAAAACTTATTAAATAGTGCATAAAAGTGAACTAGGACACTAAAACTAACTGATTAATATATATATAAAACTCCCTTAAGCGAAAATTACGAACTGAAAATAATGAACTGCTCTGGATCAGTGAGTGACATTGAAAGTGCAACAAGTCGATAAGCAAGTTTTGTAAGTGTGTTGCGGGAGTGAATAAACTCGGCGACTAATCGAATGTGTTGGTTAATATCGCCTTTAACTGCGAACAGTTACCATTTCGAGATAAGTTAATGACCTACAAGTTCTTACGCCTACCCATCACCACTTAATAATCGGTTTGAAAAACGCCTGATGTAATAATAGGAGCAAAGTATGGTGCCGTAGCAAAATCTAGGAGTCATTTAAAGTCGATACAGTAACATCTTGCTATAACTTTTTTGGAAGTTATACGGATCCAGTGATCCGGTACCTCTCAGGGTTGCTGAACACTCGGTTGGTTGTGTGTTAATCAATTTTAAATAACAAAATAAATATGCCGCCCACATTTGGTATTTGCGCTGGCTGTAATAAATCTATAAAAACCAAAGAGTGGCTTAAATGCGGAGTATGTGCCCGGAAACATGACTTGGAGTGCGCTAATATTCCACACATGAAATTTTGCCAGATGGATAATGATAGCAAGGCTGCTTGGAGATGCCCTGAATGTCGTTGTAAACAGCCAAAGAGTGACAACACGAATACACCTATTCGCGCAGCTGGAAATTCACTCGCCGTGTCTCTCGACTCGTCCGATGTTTGCAATGTTACACTGCGTAGACCTGCCAACTCGACACCAGGTGAAAGAAACACTAGTAGTGACTTTATAACGGAAGATAAATTGCGCACAATCCTAAAGCATGAGATTAGAGTCGCAGTCAAGACAACAATCGAGGGTATAATATCGGATCGGTTGAAGACTATTGACGAACAGATGTCCGGCTTTCAGGAACCTGTGTCTTTTTTTTAATGGGCTGTATGAGGATTTAAAGAACAAGTTGGAACACAAGATGGCGGCCATTTCTGTATTGGAAAAGGAAAATGGTGAACTGAAGGCGTGTATAGGGGATCTGACTACTAGATTAAATACAGTGGAACAAAACATGCGAGAAAACAACATTGAGATCGTTGGAGTACCAGAATATCGAAACGAAAACGTGACTACCAGCGTGTTACAGCTTGCCGAAACAGTGGGTAGCCCAATTGTAGACGAGGATATTCTCCATGCAACTCGGGTCGCTAAAATAAATAGACAAAGCGATAAGCCTCGGTCAATTGTAGTCAAACTTCGAAATCCTCGTAAACGTGACACCCTTATAGCATCGGTCTCTAATTTCAATAAGAAGAATCCCAAAGATAAGTTAAGCTCACATCACTTGGGCCTTGGTGGTCCCAGAGTTCCCGTATTCGTCGTAGAACACCTGTCTCCAAGTAACAAATCGCTACACGCCACAGCACGCAAAAAAGCCAAGAAACTGGCATACAAATTTATTTGGATACGAAATGGAAGAATCTTTGTGCATAAAGACGAGTTGAGCCAGGCGATATTAATCCGTTCCCTGGAAAGTTTAAAGCTAATAATTTGATCCACTTAGTATGTGCTTTTCCATGTGTGATCTGTTAGTGCAAATAAATTAATAATGCTCGATATATATTATCAGAACGTACACGGTCTTCGGACCAAAACGAACGATGTCTTTAACAATATATCATTAACCAATTACTCAATTATAGCTTTCACTGAGACGTGGCTTAACGCAAATATATGTAATCGTGAGTTTATCGATTCGAGGTATATTGTGTATCGTAGGGACAGATGTCTGTCTGGTCCTAAGATGGATGGTGGTGGAGTATTGGTGGCGGTTTCGCGAAACCTTCCATCCGTTCGGGTTCAATCATGGGAGAGTGCGTGTGAGGACATATGGGTCACAGTCCAAATAAAACAGAACAACATGTTAAGAAAAGTGGCGATATGTGTTGTCTATCTCCCGCCGCCAATCAGATTGGAACTTCTTGACCGGTTTCTGGACGGTGCCTCGGGTGTTATGGACCATGTTGGCGAGGTTATAATTTTAGGTGATTTTAACCTAAACTTTATAAATTGGACTAAAGATACCAACGAGCAATTGACGCCATCGAACTGCGACTGTGCATTGGGTCATAGGTTTGTAGACTTTATGGCTGTTCATAACCTAACACAAGCAAATAGCATTGGTAACGTGGACGGTGGGTATCTCGATTTGGTTCTAACTAATTGGACAGGAACCGCCACCATGGTGCCCAATAGTGTCTTAACCAAGTTAGACGCTATGCATCCTGCTCTGCTATTTTATGCTTGCGATCAATGTCCTCAAACGTATCTGGAATCGAACCCACGAAGTGATTTTAACTTTTTCAAGGCCGATTATACTTTAGTTATTGACGAACTGCAAAAGATTGAGTGGTTTAAAATTCTTCTTGAATTTGATTCTGTTAATGGCATGGTATCAGTTTTTTATGAAACACTGCGTGGCATTGTAACTCAATTTGTTCCTAAACGAAGGCCTAGGTCGTCCGAGTTTCCTCCATGGTTCGATCGCGGATTGATTCGTCTCTTGGCTGAGAAACATAAAACGCGATTAAAATACTTAAAGTATCAAAACCCACGCGACAAATTGGAATATGAAATTCTTAGGGGCCGATGTCATAAGCAGATGAAATGTTCTTAAAATAAATACATAACACAAATGGAGAACAACATAAAGTTTTATGGAAATATGTTGGCGATAAGCGTAGCGAGGAGTTGTCGCTTCCTGGAATAATGCACCATAACAGTGCATGTGAGGATACCGGTCCAGGTATAGCCAACTTATTCGCAAACCATTTCTCTTCTGTCTACAGCACAAACACTTCTATACCCTCGACGAATCTGTTATCGGATTCGATACAGAGAACTCTATCCAGTATTCGTTTTGGTGAGAAGGAAGTGTATGAAAAAATAAAACAGTTGGATGTTTTGAAGGGCGCTGGTCCAGATGCTATACCACCCGTATTCATCAAGCGTTGTGGCGCTGCCCTTGCGTTGCCCCTATCCATAATATACAACCGTTCGTTGGATGAAGGAGTGTACCCTGACGAATGGAAAAAAGCTAGAATTGTGCCAATATACAAAAAAGGGGAACAAAACAATGTTAAAAATTATCGTCCAATATCTATTCTTTCTTTTTTCTCTAAACTATTTGAGTCTCTGATCTGTCCGGTCTTTACACAGTTTATGAGTCCCGTCATCTCCAACTCTCTTTTAGAGTCGGTCGCTCTGTGCACACAAATTTGGTTGTGTTTGTGTCCAATCTGTCTGCTGACCTTAATGAAGGCAGGCAGGTTGATGCAGTATACACGGATTTTTCTAGCGCATTTGACAGAGTAAACCATGTACTGCTAGTGAGCAAACTACAAGAATACGGAGTTCATGGCAACTTATTAAAGTGGTTTCAAACATATCTTTCCAAGCGACCCCAGACAGTATCGGTAAAGGGATATAATTCAAGAGTGTACTATGCTGAATCTGGTGTGCCTCAGGGATCGCATCTTGGACCGGTATTGTTTTCTGTGTTTAGAGGTATAAATGATATCACAAATCACATTCAACATTCGAAATATTCTCTGTTCGCAGACGACCTTAAAATATATTAGACTGTTACTTCCTCGATGGACGTTAATCTGATACAGTCTGATCTTAACAGCATTCAGAACTGGTGTCTGTTCAATGGCATGACTCTTAATGCGGGAAAGTGTTACCACATTAAATATTCTAGAAAGCGACTACCCATACCATCGAATTATAATATCAACGGGACAGCACTAAAGGAGGTCGGTGAAATTAGGGATTTGGGTGTTACCTTGGATAGTAGGTTGAGCTTTACGTCGCACATCAATGGCATCACCAAAAGAGCTGCACAAATGCTTGGGTTCATAAAAAGAAATACGAGGGCATTTCGTCAGGTGCAAACGAAGAAGCTTCTGTTTGATGCGTTAGTACGAAGTCATCTCGAATTTGCCTCTGTCGTCTGGAACCCACATTATACTATACAATCCCAAAGAATTGAAAGTATACAACGTGCCTTTACTAGGTATGTGGCATATGGTTCTTCCGGCGTGTCACATAGAGCTCCCTATAGCCAGAGACTACAATATTTCAAAATGGACACACTACACCATCGTCGCAAAATACATGACCTAACCTTCCTACACAAGGTCATCAATGGTAATATAGATTGCAATGAACTTGTTAATTGCATCACCCTCTCGGTACCACGAAGAGTCCCGAGACATCCTGTGACTCGAACGTTTCGTGTTCCTCTTTGTCGCACTAATGTAGCACAAAACTCACCACTACGACGAATATGCTTAGAATATAACGACCGTTGCGGGGACTCGGATGACTTGGACATCTTTCACGATTCGCTTCACGTATTTAGGAATAAAGTAGTTAAAACATTTAAGTAGTATTATTAGATTGCTTTTAATTATTATTGTTATTTTACTTTTGTTTGCTTAGATATTTTTTTTTTGTCTTTACTAATATAATTGTACATGGAATTTTTGATCCCGTGAGTGTTGTGTACATCTGTCACTGGTATGCATATCAGAATTTTTTAATTTTGTATTCAACTGTATTATGGCTAGTGTATAATATGTATACTGTTGATGTGCCTTTAAACTGTCAAACACCAAGCGGTCACCGGTGACCGCGACCTATTGTTCTTTAATTGTGTCTATAAAACCGGTACTCGACGAGTTAATAAATAAATAAATAAATATTCAATAAAAATTAACACAAACGAAAATCAAACGACAACTAGTTTGGTTTCGTTGAAATGACATTAAATGTTCGTATAATGTTCGTTCGTGCGGATTGTACAATTAGAGTAGGGTTCCGAAAATATCGACGTCAAACAGTAAATTTATCTCATACTAATTTCTGAGTTGTTTCATTCCTTTTTCGTTCGTTATAAATGTCATTGCGGTAGGTAATCTTCTAACTTATGGCGCCGACTTCTAACCTATCAGTAGGTGGGTAACCTATCAGTACTAATAATAGTTATTTTTTGCTTTTTTAGTTTTGACTTTTTGTTTGTTATTAGAAGTTGTTTTTTTGAAGTTTTTGAAGTCGGTTTTTAAACGCAGTTTTCATTTTATTATTTTATCATTTTCAGTGTAAAGCTACATAGATCCGTTTTGTCACTTACCTATATATAATCTACATCGGTGCAAAGTTCTAATCAAGATAAATTATACAAGCCCAAACACAAGGTAGTTACTATAAACCATTGAAGAGTTCCCTTAACAATTACACTTCTTCATCATCAGACACTTAATGACAGTCCCACTCTATCTAGGTGTAAAGTCCTCATCAATACAAATTAATCAAGCCCAAATAAAAGGAAGTTAATATAAACCGCTGAGGAGTTCTCTCGACTGTCTGTCGGCTCCATCATCAGGTCGACTCCCGACCCTTATCAAATTGTAGTGTTTAATAATTCTTATTGAAAAACATACGCAGACGCATTACTCGCCCCTACAATTTTCGAAAGTTCTCCTCGGTTTCCCTAGAATCCCATCATCAGATCCTGACCTCATGGAAATGAGACCATCTATATATAAGGGAGAATACCCTTTCAAACAAAACAAGAATTCTGAAAATCGGTATACAAATGACGGAGTAATGAGCGAACAAACAAAAAAAAATACAATCAGCCGAACATAATACCTCCTCCTAATTTTGAAGTCAGTAAAAATGGTCAAATATACTCAATTTTCACAGCAAAACTATAGAATAGTTTGCACGCACTCTTTCTCTATCCCTCTCACACACACACACTTAACCTTCCTCGATAAATGGACTAACTAACACTAAAATGAACTTTAAGTCCGTTTTTAGTTTGCTGCGGATCTCTAAACGGGTTGCCGGAGCTCCGGCTCGAAGTGCAG